CACTTTCACTCCGTGCAATAAATTATTGAAGTATGAAATATACTGCTTTAGAACAAACAACCGACAATTTTGACTCAAAATGACCAATATATCGACATCAATCAAGTTCAAACATTTCAACTCAATATAGTCAATGTTTAAGCTACTTTCTTAGAGGATTGCATGACCGGGAAGTTATGTGACATTGATTCTGTTAAGAGAATAGAATTTGTTCCAAACATCGTATTTTGCTCAACATAACATTGTGGAAAAAACCAGCTAAATACAGAATAATACAAATGAACAGCAGTATCAACCAGAAACTAGACAAATTTCATTTTACAATTAACCTAAACGAATGCTTGATTCCCTGACAAAAGATGAGGTTTACCTCTTGGATCTTTGCTTTGATTTCGACTTAGAGTCAAAATGGTGTGATTTGAGTTTCTTCTTCCGCACCACGGTTGTGGGGCCACCACCACCTTCTCTAAATGGCATTCCCATCAGAGCAAGTAATTTATGGGCTTCTTTATCTGTATTTGCTGTTGTGGCTATGCAAACATCCATTCCCCGTGGCTTACCGAGGATATCATAACTTATCTCTGGGAAAACGCTCTGTTCACGAAAGCCGACGCTGTAGTTTCCATGTCCATCAAAGCTATTGGAGCTTACCCCTTGAAAATCCCTAGTCCTTGGAAGCCCCAGATTAATGAGCCGATCAAGAAAAGAGTACATCACCTATCGTAAATAAATCACGATGAGCACAAAGCATATGGTTTGCCAATATAAATAATTGAAATGTGTTTTCTTAAAGTATGAGATGAAATGAGACTGACTAGGCATATGGCAACAGCCAACACTGCGCCCCAAGACTTACATTTGACATGGTCATGGCATGGAAATTCAAGTATTGGCTGGAGCACGAATTCATTTTTAACATTTTATTATCTACCAAACTGTGCATGATTTGGTGCACAAGGATCAATATGTTCAATTGCATATGATGTTTTTCCTCCAATGTATTATGTCACAATATCTTCTAAATCATTTGAGGGACAAGACACCTGAATCAATTGCAGATATATTGCACAATAGACAATTCAAGATTCTCGTAGCCAACCCAAAAATTTATAGCCCAATGGTATGATCAGCAGGCTGTTACACATTATATATCACAGATCATATTGGGTTCGTTCATGAGGACCAATTGAATCCTGAACCTCACAAACACTCTGAACAAAAAGAAAAGAATATTGCAGCTAGGGCTGTGCCAATAAACCCGAAACCGCGGACCCCACCAGACCCTGGTCGTGTCGGTTTTAATTTAAAAATGAGTTGGGTCGGGTAGGTTCACAATTTAAACATTTCAAACCGACCCAACCCGTTTATCTGTAACCCTATTTCCAAACCCTCAAATTCTCCCAGCTTCAAAACCTCCTCCCTCTCCGGCGATTCTTCCTGGTGCAACTTAAATATTAGAATTCCCATCGAGGAAATATTCACTCTTTTGGTAGGTGGATTAACGTTTAATTTGTTAAATATTTGGTTGGTGGGTTCTCGCTTTCTTTGTTAAACTCAAGCATTACTGTTATTGATAGCAACCCTTTCAATTAAAACTTCTACTGATGCAACTCTCAAGGTCTCTTATCTCTAGATTGTTTTTAAAGGAAGAGCTGGTCAGTCAAATCTGTGCAAAAGAAACTGGATTGTGTAGAATCAATTAGCCCGGGATTGTAGAATTTAATCGGAGAAGATATGGCTTATGCAGCCGTAGTTTTACTGATGCGGGATCTAGAAGAACTCTTACATTCCCAGGCACGTCCCATTGGTCTAAAGAAAGAACAGATTGAATCTCTTTATTGCAAGTATCCCTCTTCTTTGAATGAGAAGAGAAAGGGCGGTGATGTGTTGGGTAAAGCATTGAATGAGAAGTGTGTGTGTTTCTTTTCTTCTTCTTCCCGCAATCTCTTCTTTTCATTTTTTTTTTTTACTGCATAGCATTTGGGGTAATTGGGTCTCTACTATGATTTCATTGAACCGACCCGAACCGGGTCGGGTAGTGGAAGAGTCCAAAACCGAGTCTGTCGGGTCGGGTTTGGCCAAAACCCAACCCCGCCAGACCCATTGCCCACCCCTAATTGCAGCTCCAATCCCAATATGGTTTTGCAATGTATATAACATAATGATCAAATCTGTAATTTTCAGAGAGCAACAAACCATGAATATTAAAGATTCTTGGTTTGGTAAGTGGTTTTGGCACTCCTCTATGTCATCTCAGGTAGATAGTGAAGCACGGGTACAATGGAGTGTCATTAATAGTCCCCCCTTTCCATAGCCAGTACACGAGAGATCATCAGTTTGATGGTGTTACTGAAGACTATAGGGTTGTGTTGGGTACATCGAATTAGACTGTACAAGGAATTAAGTATAAAAATAAGCAGATACACTAAATAGGTTACGGGTGGATTAAGGCAGATAGTATTTTTCAGTTTGCTGTCCACAAGAATGTTTTTTGCACGGTCAATCTTTCTTAAGTTACCAGATAACATAATATGGAGTGAGGAGATGGGTTTAGGCTGGATATGAAAGATAGTGCAATTAACATTGATCTGAATGAAAAATTTATAAATATCCAGCTGAGTACTATCTCCTCTAATTTTTTGCATAATTTCTTGTATGGTCTAATAATTCCCGAGTCTAGAGTGAATGCAACTCAGTCTATGTATATCCTCCCCGCTAAATGGTAAAACAGCATTGTAAATAAGCAAATCTTATCATTTCTACACCAAAAACAGTCAAATAGTCACAACAAACAAAAAACATCATGCAGCAGTCACAGTAATTAACTCACATTTCCTCTTAGAGTAACTGCAATTCCAAGTGGTTGGCCTTCTCTTATCTTAAAGGTAGCAATAGCATTCTTTGCTCTCGTCTTTATTGGCCTTTGACCCGTAATAAGCGCCAAATCATTCATAGCTGCATCCAAGCCCTTTGCATTCTGTGCAGCATCTCCAATACCACAGTTCACCACAATCTTTTCAACTTTCGGAACCTACCACAAATCCGATGCAAGTCAAGCACATTAACGCAAAAACAAAATTTCCTGAATAATATATATGAAATTTGCCACATTTACACCTTAATACAAAATTGATTTACTACGATTTCTTACCAACATTTAATCTGAATAGTTCTAGATATCTAACCTTGAATCCACTATATTCTACAATGTACGAGATTCCTAACTTTTTTTTTCAATAATTCGAAAAAAAAATAAATAAAGAATCCAGTAAATATCTCGCGCTTTATTTTCAGAAAATAGAAAAAAAGTAAAAATCTGAGCAACATGATGTATACCTGGTGAACATTGGTGTATTTGAACTCTTCTTTGAGCAAGGGGACGATTTTCTCGAGGTAAGTGGTTTTGAGACGGTTGACTTTCTCGGCTTCATTTTTCTCTACCAGGACCACCGATGACATGGCTTTAACCGACAAGCCACCGGAACGACGGCGTCGTGTGGAGGTCGGTAAACCCACGGAAGGGGGGAGGAACTGGCCGTGGAATGTGGATCCGGAGGAGTGTAAAAGCGCCGGGGACAACGCCATTGGAGGTGTACTGAGGTACTTGTGTATATTGGGTATGGCTTTTCCGTATAAGAAGAGAAAGGATAAGTCGATAAGAGTACATATTGGGACTAAATTTTTGAGAAATTACCAGCAGGCCACTCGGCTTTAGCTTATAGCAATAATTGATACATAAATGATATTTTTAAAATTTAGCCTCCATTCATTCTTCTTTAAAAATCATTTTTTCGATCAAAGTAATCACTATTCATTAATTATTCATGCATTTCGAGAAATTTAGTATTATTTTCTTATAAAGTTATTAATAATTTAGAAGAACAGAGGCTTCAAAAGAAAACTAAGAATGGCAAGTACCATTCCCGTCCCTCCTCGAAGGGGTCAAGATTTATGGATTAGTTAGAAATTCGATGATAGATCACGCCGAATCGATCATCAATCGTATCCCTTGTTGGTATGGATGAAAATCAAAAATTTAATTTTAAGTAGAAGTCAACCCAACCGAACTCTATATGTACACCTCTAACCATGACTAATTCATAAATACAGTAATGTTATTCGTGGTGAAGGCTATCGATAATCATGCTACGTGACATATAAATGACAGTTTGTTATTTGGTACATTTATATGTTAACTTTTTATTTTCATGTATATATCACGTAAGACGACTGTCAGCAGCCTTCACTTTGAATTACATTATTAGTATAAAACATGGCAAAATATTAGATTAGGAATTAGATTATCAAAATTTTGTGGGGTCTTCTAATAATTATCCGAAAGTCATGTAGAACTGCTCCCAATCTTCAACCAACCCTATAAAGCCGTGTAGCCACAGCTAATAAAGGCGCGTAGTAAACAATACTATTATTTTAATCTCTTAATGACGTCATATTTCACAATTTCAAACCCTCCATTTTTCTCTCTGATACTCTCTTCCTTTCTCTCTCTAAAATCAATTCCAATTATATACATTTTCTCACTCTCTCTCTATATCATTTTCTGTCGGAAATAGGAACAAGGCCGAGAAATTTAAACCCTAATTTTATTTCTTTCTCTGATCCAGGTGGAAGCCAAATGAGGAGTTGTTTTAGATTAGTGTGGTATTTTAGATGACCTTGAGGTTTGTTAATCTGGCTTAGGGCAAAAAAAAAGGAGATTAAATTCGGTGCAAGAAATGGGATTTTGATGAATTAGGACAGCTGGATGTACTTGTCTAGGCATTTTCCGGATCAATTAGCATTGATTTGAATATGAATTTATTGAATCGGGTAGAATATTTTAGAGTTTGAGAAATTTGGGGGTTGGTTTTGATTGGGTAGCTGGGTTTAGGGGGTTTGTTTTTGTATGGTTGGATCTGATTTGGTAAAAAGGTGTGATTTTGTGATTGAAACTGCATTTTTAAGCTTGCTGAGAGGTTATTTTACGCGGGAACAGAAGAATGAGCTTGGAAAATGAAGATCAGAAGTCTCCCTACGAGGCATCTGAAACGATTCCTGAAGTTGAAAAGTAATTTCCCTTGCTTTTATTTCATTGAGTTTATGTATCTACAAACGTGATTATCATAATTTGGGTGAAAATAACGAAGTTGTTTTGGTTGTTTAGGAAGCTGAAAGTTTCATACACAAGAGAGTTCCTCTTGTCCTTGTGCAATTTGGATGTTTGCAAGAAGCTACCAAGTGGGTTTGATGAATCATGGCCGAGGTAAAATACCTCCCTTTTCTCCCCGAGAATTACCGATGCTAGTTACAGGCGATGTTATTGTCTTCAATTTCTGTCAGTTTGTCGAGTTGCTCGTTTGTCATTTTTGTTGTACTTAAAGCATATTGCCGTGTTTTATATATACATTTTTGTTGAAATTGAGGCAGTGAATTTGATGATGGCTTGCAAAGCATACATGATCGACCAAGAATGTCCGAGAACTTGTCATCACAGGGTTTCAGACGCAACGAGTATGGCTCATCACCGATTACTCGAGGAGATTCTGATAGTTACTCTCGAGGTATATACGGAAGACGGGGAAGCCAATTATCTGGGCAAAACGATCAAGATAGCGACTCAAAATCCAGCAGGGACTCAGGTTGCTTTTAAGATTCCTCTGTATGCTCAGTTATACCTACTGTTATGTGTTTGTTTTGTTGGTTCTGTGATAGCGATTAAAATAGAGGAAATCAGCAAGTATAGCTGTGGAGCATGCTGCATGCCTGATATTTGTAGTTCAAGGGGAGAGGTAGAGCCACACTAAAACTGTGCGTACACTTCTATGAAGCACGGACACTCCTACAATGGTGACGTGCATGTTCGACGCGTATCGGATACTAATACTCTTTGGATACTGTTATATGTATTTTCTTTCTTTGACATTAGTAATAAATGATTTAATTTAGAGTTATTTTAATATAACAACTAGAAACTCCTCTAATTATAACATATCACCAACAAAAAATAAAACTAAAAAATTATTTTTATTAAAAATAAAGATATACTACATAAATTTACAATTTTACAAAATTAAAATCATCTGTGGCATTACCACGTCCTGCTTTTTCAAAGATCACGTGTCCACATAACCTTGTTGTTTGTTATGTCCAAGTCACGGGCATGTGTCCATGTCTGTGTCTGTGCTTCTTAGCTACACTTGGAACTTTGGTGTCTGTGAGAAGGAAGCTTGGTTGCAAGGCATATTTGAAATACTTGAGATGGTATCTTTGTGATCACATTCCTGTTCATGGTTATCTGGAAAGTGCTAGAAATAGCGTTAAATTATTTGGCTTCTCAAGTCATGCGAAAGCCATATCTTTGTTTTATAGAACGTGATTTGCCATTTGTCAACATATTTTGACAATTCAATTTCCATTTTCAAGTTTGAGATGGCCCATTGACTTAAAATATAAAATTTTTAAATTACATTTAAAAATGTAGATTTGTTATATTAGATTAACTATATATATGTTATAGTTGGATAAATTTTGCAGGACAAACTCTAGGACATGGCCTTCTTATAATGTTTAGTTATGCTCGTTCTCTTATGTTTGTTGGCTGCTGAATTTCAGCTTATCCGAGTTTGTATTTATGGTGATTTCTTTCCCCCATTCCTATTCTGGCTTATCTCGTAAATATTCTTAAGAGATTGAAACTTTGATTATGTCCAGAGGAACTAAGCCTTACGAATCTTGCTCCTGTCCTTTATTTTGTACTTTCTACTTACCTGGGCATTTAACTTGGTGCTCTTTTCTTGGTCAAGCTCTTCAGTCGCTATAGAGCTAATGCACACAAATTTGATATTCTTATGTAAATAGGACTCCTATGCTTTGATGCCTGTTAACTGTGACCGCTCCTACCTTGTGTATTTTATCTACTGCCACCATTTTGTCGTCATGAAACATGATATGTTGTCTTCAGATATGATGACCTAACCACTTTCCATTGTAGATTCTGGAAGGCATTTTGGCCATCAGTCAAGGAGGCCTTGGCAGACTCCTAAGCATGACGGGCTTCTCGGGAGTGGTTCATTTCCAAGACCATCTGGATATGCAGCTGGGATCTCCGGTTCAAAAGCACAAGGAAATGAGCACTATCAACTTAAAAAGAGCAACGAACCTTATCAGCCTCCACGACCTTATAAGGTTTAGTCATCCTTTGTAAATTATATCTAAAATGCTGGTACCTCTGTTTCATTAGTATGGTTTAGCAGACTACTGCGTTTCTTCATCTGGTTATATTTTTTTCTCTGTCTACTGTCATTTAGATAACTTTAATGAATTCATGTGGCAGAGAAGTGAAACTTATGGGCACTGCAGTAATCATTGTCTCATGCAATTTATAATATTTTCAGGCAGTACCTTATTCACGGAGAGACACCGACTCTTACAACGATGAAACATTTGGTTCAACAGAGTCAACTAGTGAGGATAGAGCGGAGGAGGAAAGGAGGAGAAGAGGTATCATTCCTTTCAGCTCACAATCTTGTAGTTGGTATCTCTGATAGTTTATTGGTATTGTTATTTTATATTTAATTGTTTTGGTCATATTCCAAGTTCTAATAAACGTGCTTTTCAGCCTCTTTTGATTTGATGAGGAAGGAACAATTAAAGGTTTTTCAGGAGAAGCAAAAATTAAACATGGAGAAGCATAAAGCTGATGGTGTCTCAGACCTTGGTGAACTATTGGAGGATAGCAGAGAGAAACGGAGAGTTTTGGGCAGGAACAATGAATTAGACTCTTCCTCTGCCGCTTCTTTCTTAAATGATTCTGAAAAATCTTCTTTTGCTTCACAATCACCTGTGTCTAGGCCACTTGTTCCGCCAGGTTTTACCAACAATATTCTGGATAAGAGTGTTGGCTTGAAATCTTCAATTCATCCTCCTTTGACGGAGGTATGTTGTTTTCCTCTTTACTTTTTTTGTATAATTTCCTTGGTTGGAGATTCAAATATGCTTTGCAAGTCTGTTAATCAAATGCATTAACAACAGGCACATAATGTGCACAATTAACCTCTCTGGCATCTTTTTAAGGTGTTTTTAAGTTTTCCTTCTTTCCAAGTCCTTTATTCCTTTTCACAAATGACATGCTTGTGGTTGTTGGATAAACATTATGATTTTGCCTTTGTTGTTAGCTGATCCGTTCTTATTAGAAACAGAAGTATGGCTTATCAGAGGCATGGCCATTTCTGGCCAATCATCTTGTCTGATTTCATAAAATACTCTAAATTATGCCAGGCCTGTCAGAAACGTTCTCTTTTTGCCACGCCTTCACATGTGTATGTTTATGTAGTTTTGAGAAAGCATTTTTGTCTAGTTGGATGTTGGGTGACTTGATGATCTTTTTTATTTCTAACAAGTGTTCCCCAGTTCTGAGAAAGGACTGAGTTGACAAGGTGTAAGCGATATTCTGTTTGCAGGTGCCCAGTGCTATAAATTTGCCAAGGGGTTGGTTATAGATATTCTCATCACTTCCATGTATTGTTCCATTTTTCTATGCAATTGCTGATTAATGTGCATCATGTTTAAATTGCAATCCAATTTTAAACATTGCTGTATTGATTTCTTCATAAGAATCTTTCTTGTGAAGGCATCAATAATCATTTTAATTTTCATTTATAATGCCCCGCTAACAATTTAATGCTTGTACAGGTTGAAAAACCTATAACAGGGGAAAGCCTCTTTCATGCTGGAGCCCAATCCATCCAAAATGGTACTCACTATAGTTTAGAGAGGAAGTTATCACTGGAGAAAAGTTTATTTGATGGACAGCCTGAGGATGAGACTAAGGATGCACTGGTTTTGAACAAGGTTGAAAACATGAATTTTCACTCAACTTCAAATTCGTCAAGCTATATACCTGGCATGGAAAATCAGTTGCACCAGAATTCTAGACATCTAGATGCTCATGAAACCTTGGGTTGCCCTGAAATCTTTGAACTTGATGCCAAGGTATTGGAAGACAAAATTGTAGGTGAGTCAAATAGAAGTTATACAACACCAAATTCAGAAAAGAATGTTAGCAGCACATTGTCAATGAATGGAGGTGGATCTGATACTGCTGAGGTAATTACTGCTCTAAATATGCCACTTTTATAGGTGCCTCGTCCAGTTCCTTTAACAAAGCGAGATGTAAGAATGACGGAAATGAGCACTTGTCAGGGATGTTTTTCAGTTCTCTAATTGAGCAATTAGCATGTTTCTCAAGTTAAAACACAATCTGAATTATATTGCTGGAACTTTGTTGGTTTCATTTTCTTGGTCCTTGATCACAGTCAGAGATGTGGATGATTTTAATAAATCTATACCCAAAAGATATGGATACCTTTTAAATTTCACCCAAAAGTCTACAAAGCTTTAGTTGATGGCATGGATGCGAATGTTTCTTGTGTGGACTCTAAAGTATATTTTGTTAGTTTGGCTATTTATGCTTGGCATGTTCTTGATTGTGCTTATAACTTGGGTAATATTATTTCATTATGCGGCACTGTTCCCATTAATTTGAATGATTTTCTTGTTCGAGTACATTCTAATTTGGATCAGGCTGTACACCTTTTAAATTTTCCCCCAAAAAAATCTTAAGTTGATGCCATGGATGCTAATGTTTCTTGTGTGGACTCTGAACTATATTTTTGTTAGTTTGGCTATTTATGCTTGGCATGATCTTGTTTGAGCCTATAATTAGGGTAATTTGATATCATTGTGCTGCACTTTTCCCATTCTGTTGAATGATTTGTTTGTTTGAGGACACCTTATGGTACATTGTAATCTGGATCAGTCTGTTTTCCAATTTTCCTAGGTAGATCTAGTTAATTAAATTGTAGGATGATTGATGATTTATGGGCTGAAAAGGAGGTGCTTCCCTTATCTTTTGTGTCCAATCTATCAAGCTCTTCTATTTGACTTTTTCTTCACTTACTATGGCACTGTATGGGTCTATAATCACTAATACTTTATTATTTGTTGCATTTTCTTCCAGTGTCATGATGGTAAACTTGATGTTAAATGGAGTTCTGTTGAGTCATCAAAGTTTTCCCAATGGTTTTACGAGGAAGGTACAGTGCTAAAATATTTTCATTGTATGTTGTAAAAGATTATTAATTTTTTCTCTATATGGTTTTAATAATTTTTCCTTTTATTTCACTGCAGAGGCAAAGCCAACGGATGATATCAGATTTGGAAGGCCCAATGATTTGCTATCATTAATCGTCAGTGGTGACAAGGGAAGATATCAGGTTTCTGACTTGGAAACAGAGGAGAAACTTTCACGTGATTTTTCCTACACAAGCTCTCAGCATAGTAATAAGTTAAGATATGAAGTACCTTCTGCAGCTAATGGAATCTCTGAGCAGTTGGGCATTAGTAACAAGAAAGAGATTTTTCCTGCAGTCCTTACATGTGAAGACCTTGAACAATCGATTTTGTCGGAATACAGTGCAAAGACTTCAAATGTGCAGCCATGGATACAAGGCTGGGGTACTACTAGTGCGAATACTGAGCGGCCAAGAGATCATGTTGATAATTATGCGTCTGGACACCTGCTTTCATTATTGCAGAAGGGGACAGACCCGAGTAATTCGACCCCAAACTCTAGTATGGCTCTGGGTTTTGCTGGCAAACTACTAGTCTCCGAAGAACATGATAAGGGCAATGCTGTAAATGAACCTAAAGGCGAAGTAGGCACCAAAAATATAGATAATTTAGGAAAGACACTTACGATGGAAGCTCTCTTTGGTTCTGCTTTCATGAAGGAGCTGCAATCAGTTGATGCACCTGTTTCTGTCCATAGGGGTGGACCAGTTGAGTCTACACGAACTGATGCCCCTGAGCCTCATGGATTATCCTTTCCAAACATGGATAATGACATTTTTTCTTTGGGAGTTGATCAAACCAGATTTGAAAGGACAGATCATGATAGTAGTATTTTGATTTCAAACCAGAGAAAGCAAACCAAGCCAGGCAAGGTTGAGAACTGGCAAGGGTATGATGACTCCCAAATTGATTCAAATCGTCATACTGAAGTAGTCTCCAAACATGGTGGCTTTGATGGGGTAGTTGAATTTCAGCTGCCTGAAGAGGAGAGCTTAATTTCTGTAGATAATCAGAATCATCCGATTTCGACATTTATTCCAAGTGTTAATTCGGGTAAAAATGATTTCTTTTTCTCAAACGCCCCTCAAAAACTGGTGGCTACCAATGCCATCATCAAAGACAAACAAATTATGCTTGGTTCAGAAAGTTTGCCCTTTACACATGGTCCTCATGAGCAAATGGAGCAAAATATTCCCTATCACAATTCTACCCAGCAATCATTGTCCCAGTTTCAACCTCCACAAATGACTCATGCGAGGCCATTATTTCATCCCATGGATTCTCATCGTGCTCACACAACGTCCCAGATGAAGTTCACGGATCCCGAGATCATACTTAATCAAGAATCTCAGGCCAATCACCATTTTCTTGGAAATATGATCCGCCCTCCTTTTCATCACTCTAGTGCAGGGGTTGCTGGGTTTGAAGTCCCGGCTCACCACCCTTCGATGCTACATCAAATGCAGATGTCGGGCAATAATCCTCCTCACCTGTTACCGGACTTTACACGGGGCGGTCCAATGTCTCATCCTGGCGGTCAACCAACTGGTATTCAGGAAATGAATCCAATACGAGGTTTTCCTTTTGGACCTGGCCAACTCAACATTGGCACTCTTGGGATGCCGATTCCACGTAAGAAATTCCGACTTTACAGTTTTCTGTCTCATCATGTTGCTATGAGCTGCATATTTAACTTGCTTATTTCTGGAATGAATCATTTAATATTGAGCCGAAGTATGCATATTAGCTTGACTTCATATAACACGCTAGGGAGTGATTATAAGTTGCGGGTACCATGAAATGTGTGGATAATAAGTGGTATTCATCGTGGTTTCTACTAAATGTGTGGACAAAAAGTATGTTTAACTAGCTTAAATTATAAATTTTGCAGAACATGCACTGAATCTTGTCAGTATTTGCCCATTCTCTTCAACTTGCAGTCCCACAAGAATAGTCTTCTTGGCATTCCTTGCAATGTCTAAAATAAGAATATATACTCTGATGTTTCATCATCTTCATGTGAAAATTAATGCATATTATTCTTGTGATCGTGTCAGCTCCTGATATCAATGGCAACCCCGAGTCATTTCAAAGGCTAATTGAAATAGAACGTCAGGCGAGGTCGAAGCAGATCCACCCTCTTGCTGCTGGCCGTAACGAAGGAATTCACCGTAGGGAATTAGACATGGATTTCCGACAGAGATAGTCGATTGTGATAAGAGTTAAACATGGCAGTACGGTCCGCGTCTGTCTCGAACATGCTATCCCCATCCCCATCCCGATCCCGGGTATCCTGTATGTATACATATCTGTGAATAGGGCACACTGGAGTTTGCGAATCTAATGAAAATGGGGAAGGAAAAACTCTTTAAAAAGGCTGTTGTTTGTGCACAATTATAACAAATTCCCAACTTTTTTCTTCTCCTTTTGATTTTCGTTTCAAATCTATTTAGATTCTGCCACCTGAAATGCAGTTAGTAGTAGGGATCTCGGCTCGACCAACCAGATGAGCTGGCCCATGCTCGCCTTGCATGCAGTGAGTCGAGCACGAGTTAAGCTTGCTTGAAGAATTTCAGGCTCAGCTCACCCTGTGAACTATTATTTTAGTGACAATGAAGCTGAAAATTCGTAAACGGTAAACTTAAAAAATCTATTTTGCAAATGTGTTTAATAAAAATCCTGTTTATTCGGATTTGAAATTGTCTTTGTTGTAAAAAAGTGATTGGTTGAAAGATTACTTTTTTTGAACTGTCAAATCACAATTTGTGATGTGACAAAATGTAAAGAATTATACTACTCAATCACTTTGGATTACACTTTGAATTACCCGATCCCACCTCCTCTCTCACATGGAGGTCGAGTTCCACATCCAATAAACGAGTGGGACCCGACCCTTATGTGAAGGAGGGGTAGACCCAAGTAACTCAAAGTGTAATTCAAAGGGTGCAACTAGCAAGATCCAAATGTGAACCATGGTGTACTTTGATGTACATTATACACGATTTAATATTTTGGGTACTATTTTTTTTGAAAGAAATGAAATTATTAAAATTTAATTGTTAAATTTAATAAATAAAATATCTACTTTATTTTGATTCGAGACTTGCAACATTATACATGCATTCAATTTTTGTTTTGAATTTTATCATCTCATTGTAGTCTTTGAACTTAATTGAAATTATTTGACAGTTATAATACTAAAAACATTTTACTTAATTGCTGCACGACATGCTAACTTTCCATCATGCCAATACATAAAAGGTAATTTGACAGTAGTAAAATTGCAAATTTTCAAAAAATCTACCCGTCGTGACAATTTTATAAGCAATTCACGTTGATATTGAAAATGCTCGTAACAATCTCGTTGAATGCGAGTCATACTTGCTAATAATAATTTCCATCAATTTTAATATAATACATGTTTGTGAATGGTTTATAATCAGTCTAATATATAAATAGATAAAAATAAGTGAATCGCCGATTATAAACAGGTGCCAAAAAGAAAAATCTAAATTGAAATTCAATAAATAGAATGCTGGACGATTTGAACAAATACTACTACATAAAAGATCATGTAAAAAACCAACATCTTATAGATCACAGCGTCTCAACATGTAACTCTCAACAAGCACAGCTACAAAACTGTCAAAACTAGTCGATATGACAAGTTCAAACAAACCGCGCAAGACTTTGAAAACATATACACACTATCGAAAATGCCTAAAAATTCTTTACATACCAGTTTCTATACATTCGTCTCAGGAGGCATAAGAGAACAGACCATTCCTTCACTGTTTCTACATATGTACAAAGGGCATGGAAAATGTAAGACGAACCAGACCTTCATGTTCCATTATTCTTCAGTAGACCTGAAATAAGCAGCGGATATTGGAAATGGAACTGTATGAACTGCAAATGGGACAGACAGCACCCTTTCTACACTGTTGTAATTGCATTCCCGAGTTTGTCAGCTTGAAGATTTTTCAAAGGGCTATCAAACCTTTCTTTCTCGATGCCAACACTGTGCGATAATAACATCCTCCTCTGTATCAACAATCAAACATAAACAGATTGAGGCAAGTGATTAGATAAAATGGTTTTTGTAGGCAACCAGTCATTTATATCAATTGCATAACTAGGCTTCACCAAGACCTTTAAAAAAATTGATAATCCGTTACATGAATAGCTTATATGCTACAGAGATTCGACAACTGTTTAAGAGAGACACAACAACTAAAATTATATGAAAATATGTCATATCAGGATGATCAAGAATAAAGTTTCTTAAAACTACAACCAAAATTGTTTGATGACTACATTTTTCTTTTAAGCTTAGCCAAACATGCTAATAACTAGAGCTAATATAATAGGCAATTCATCGCAAAAAGAGACAAAAATGCAGCACATAAACTCTCAGCAGCCCAAAAAAAAATTTATTAAAAAGATGCGAGACCGAAAATTTCAATACAAGTCAAAAGTTCAATTCTTATTTGAAGAAACCACCGTATATCCCTGTATTCATTCATGTTCAAACCCCAAAGGGTTCCAAAAAATGACCTCAAAGCTGACTTTTGTGTTAGAGTGTCTTGTCTAAAGACTCTCCCACACCTAGGAAAACTTGGCTCGATCAATGTTCCAAAAAACACAGTTTTCATAACTATAGAAAAGCCCTTCAGCAGCAGGAAAATGGGACAATATCCTATAATTGTAGGGGTACGAAAATAAAGTTCAAAGATAATTACATTAGCCAGTAAGACGGCTGAGAATTGAACAGTGTAGTCACATCATATAAAATGTAAGTTGGACATCACAGTGGTAAAATTAACGCATCTAAGAATTTAGAAGTTGAATGTTCAGGCATCATCAGTTTAATTAATGTTACATGGACAAGAAATTGAAGATATACGTGTTGTTCAATAGCTTCTTTGCAGCATTTGTAGTTTAAGATGGGATCTTTGCATTGGTATAATTGAGTTGGGGTTTCGGCTTCATTCATGGACGGGGTCAAGGATATCTTCTCTCCAAAAGTCCAGGCGATTGAAATCAGTGATTTAAAGCATCTAACAGCTCAACCACCGAGTTAACAAATCATTAAATTCGATTATAACCTTAGCATGCAGTGAGCAACAGGCGGCAGGAGCAATGGAAAGGGAAACTGGGATAGTGAAAACTTACATGATTCTCAAATTCAGGACTCATCAAATTGATGGATAGATTCTTCATCAACATCACCGCCTGGAGAAGAAAGATGGATTAGAATGTTAATAAACAGTTAAATGTTTCGCAGATTACTCCTAGAAACACAACTGACACATCTAACATTTTTATGAGCAACCAATACATAGACAAAATCAGTGTAAACATGTTTGTACATTATTTATATTGCACACGCTTCAGGGAACATATTAATTTTATTTCTCATTAAGATTGACCTTCCTCTATAATGAGGAATACCTCAATACTGAATGATCAGTTTCGTCTTGTATGGAGAGCTGATCCCAAGCGTGTTTCAGCAAACAAAAAAACTCAAATGAGTGTGTATCTTTTACTTAAAGTTCAGATAAGGACGGATTGTGCGCGTTACGAGTTCTGCCAGCTCGTCCTGTTTGATGAATTGATCCAAGTCCGTGTTTGACAACCATTGTTTTCAAACTCTTTCTTCTACATATTCGTTTTCAACCACACATTCATACAATAAAATATTTTGCAAGTAAACCCAAAAAACTTTTCCTTACTTTTTAACCACATATTCTCCTAAAAAACACTATTCAAAACTTTATTTTCCACAATGAATGGTTGTCAAACAGGGGCTAAATGTCATGGGCCACAATTTAACGGGAAACTGGACTATACCTGCTATGCAACGTTCTCCACAAGAAAACTAACTGCATCATATATATCCGGTTATAGGAGAAACTGTTAGGTTTTTAGTTGTATTGGAAACTCTTTAAACAAAAGGATTATTATAAAAGATTTGTAAAAGTCAAGAAGTCTTTTGAGGTGTTTTTTTGTGTGATTGATCATTATTTTCTACCTTCATAACATTCTTTGAAGATCAAACAACAATTTCATATCTTGAGATCAATCAACCGCAAGTTGGGAAAAACATCAAAATCATATAATCAAAAACACCAACTTCCTAAATATACTTAGGATGGTACTTCTTCAATTGCTTTCAGAGGTTGTTGAAGATTGAGGAGATTGGACCAGAAGCACAGGAAGAGTACAAGAACAAGGTGTTCTTGATGATCTACAGGAGATAGACAATTCCTGAAGATTGGGAGCAGGTGTGAGTGAAGCACGTTTCAGCGGGTCTTGGAGATTGCGGTAATTAAATCAGCGAGTCTAGTGGGTTTTCTAGGATGGATTATACTGTAAGTTCTTATTGTCTATAGTAGAGGTTACTAGCTTAGTCCCGAATTTTGCCCCAGTTAAGGGTTTTCACCGTCAACAAATATTGTATTATTTACTGCTTTATTTATTATTGTAACAATTCAACATAAGATAACTGGACTTGATTGACTAAACATCTAGAATAATTAAAAAGTAAATTGTTGCTTTTAATTGGTAATTTTAATTCTACTTTATTCACCTATTCACCCCCCTATAGGTGATTTTAATGTCGAACTCATAACTTTTAGAAACCAAGGATGTTGTTCTATGCACACAATGTCTAGAAATAGTTGATTGTCTTCATAAGAAAATGAACCACATAAGGTATTATTCACACCAATCCCAGTATAATTGAGCAGCTCCAGAACTATCACAAAATAAAAATAATGAATAATGATGCTGCGAAAAATCTGACTTACCGTTTCAACATTTATCTGGTCCATCTTCTTTAGTCTTTCCAAGTGATCACTTGCATTAGGGTCAAAGACACTACCAATAAAGCTGTAGACTTGAGCAAAATCAGGCATAGCTGCATCAACGAAAAATATTTGCTTATATATATACACATCACTTATTAATCTATTATGTGCATAAATAGGAAATACATCACTTATTAATCCTAAACAAATTCCTCAGGTGTAGAAAGTGATACTCTTCCCAAAGACATAGCTGTATATCATAAATGGACCAAACAGCTTCAGTAAAACAAGCACACATATATTGAACTGCACAACGCTGCTCAAGCAACAAATCTAACCAATGCAGTCACTAAACGAACTTGTAAAAAAGCAGAAAGTCTAATTCCTAATATAAACAAACAACGAAATTGAAATAAACCAAAAGTCAGTTATATTCCTGATATAACATATGCATTCACACATAAATGAATGCTTTTGAACGAAAATGATGCCTTGTAATAATAATTAATCTGGAGATTCTCAGTATGGCTTTGGCTGCTGTTTGAAGTACGACTACATAAAAAAATGCCCAATCATGGAAGCGAATAACTCGATAAACAACAATAATTACATATTATCAATACACATTTGTTGGCCCACAAAAATGTTTTACTGGCAGAAACACACTGTGTTTGTTAAAGTAAGACATCCCGGTTGTCTCACCAACAGCTTTCCAGTATACAAGGGCCAGTAGACAGACAAGTTTATTCTGAATTTTCCCGCCACTTGAAAGGTCATCTGCTTCTCTGTCTCATCCTAAAACACTACTAGATGTAGCACTGAGAACATTGAGGTACAAGTCAACATGAAAAGGCAACAACTTCCTACACTAGTATTGTCATCTACATATAAGGAAAATTGATGATTCCTTGATTTAAAACCTCTCTCAGGACTTAAATGCTCTTGCTAATTGAGGGCCTAAGTTCAACTTTCTTATCCAACAGAAGTTCAATGGCTGACTCCCCATACCTAGGTCCCGCCACAAATACTCTGAAATAACATGTCTTTCAGTTCTTTATCTAATGTGCTGCCTAAGTTCCACCACAAACACTACAAAATAACATGTCTTTCAGCTGTCTTAATGTAATGTGCTCACCATGCCTCAAAAAGACATCTCCCAGCTCATTTAGAAGTCTGCAAGCAATAAATGGGAGTACGGGACATTATGAAAAGGATTTCACAAATTCACCTGTAGATTAGAGGTTGGTCTGATCTATTATTGGCCACTCTTTCTCCAAGAAATCCACAGATCATACACAGAAAACGAAAGAAAATTACCTTTCATTGGCAGGCCTTGTTCCTCTTTTACTTGGGGATTTGATTCATTACTTGGCCTCAGCCGAGAAGTGCTTTCATTACTGTCGCTGCTATAATTATGTGTCAAAGCTAAACTGGCTAATCCCATGTCATCTGAACCACACCAGCATAAGACATTGTTTAGGCAGGATCACACAACTGACTTCTCAAAACAAGGTTAAATACGAGCATGTTTAAATACTAGAAACATACCTCTTGACACGTCTGACATACTGCCTGCTGGAACAATATTATAAATCCAAGGCGATAAGGTAGCCCTATTAATTGTGTTTCCAGGTACCGACAATGGATCTGGCGTCGCAACATATCCAGGCTCCAGCAAAGAAGCTGAAGACTGCAATGGTCCAGTAGTATGAGACATAACTGCTACAGGAAAGAATGCAAGTTAAGTACGACAAGTTCGAGAGATGATAAGAAGTCATGGAGGAAAAAAATAGCTACAGCTCTTACCTTTTTTGGGAGCCTTTTGTGGATAAGGATGGGCTGCTTTTCTCTTTGGACGTGGCGGAGGTACATGTTCACTCTTTCCATTCTTCTGGACCTTCAGAAAATATTTCTGAGCATGGCTACGAATCTGCAAAAACTAATCTTTAGAAACTGCAGAATCAATGAAACATGCAGGCAGTTTCAATAGCTGCGACTCGTAGCTATCAACTTACAGAAAATATCCATTCTTTATACCAGAGTTAGCGCTCTAAGTCAATTTTCAGCAAAAGTACAAAAATATTAGCAGATTTTGTGCCACTAATCTGCAAGAAAATGATTGTTTGGTCGATTCTATGGAGTCCTATATATGCAACATCACCCAACTTATTTACATAAACAAGATGAAGAAGAAAGGGTGATCTGGATTTTTTTTTTTTTTTTTTTAAGATTATTACTTTTTATTAACTTATTTTCGTATACTAATGTAAATTATGAATTTATTTTCATTTTAAGAGTACATGTTCTCTAAAAAAATACTTTGTTACTTTCAACACTTGCAAAATAGAACATCTCATCGATCACATTCTTGTCAGATTTATTATTATTATTATTATGGCCTTTTTTGTGGCAGGTTCAAATTTAGAAAGGAATTGTTAAGAAACCCTTTTCACTTCTACAACCATGAATTACATTTCATTTCCTGATTTTTGGAATAGAAAAATACTTGAATAATGGAGCAAAACATACTACAAGGATGACAAAGTAAAATTTTCCAGACAATAAGAAGATCTATAAACGAGTGTATTAGCAATTCTCAAAATAGTACTTAGAAGTGTCCGTAACACTCGACCATAAAACTCCCAAAATGCTCAAAATGGGACTAGATTGATTATCAAATATCATTACCACACAGCATAAAGTTCTCAGAAAAGGGGACTGCTAAATTTCGACAATTTGCTTCCTATTAGACTCGTAAAGAAAATAACATAAATTAAACATGAAACAACTTAATTACCTGGATAACTGTCTTTGACCCCACAAATGCTTCAATCTTTTTCCAGTCACGATCAAATCTGAAAGTTGACAAGTAAAAGAAACCGAAATAAAACCAACACAGGCCCAACACGATAAAAAGAATCACATGTCAAATTTCAATTTTCATTCATCTTTTCTCGTGAAGAATAAGTAAAAACATCATTCAATTCCTGAAAGTCATATACAGAAAGCAGATTTCAAGCAACCACTAAGTTAGTAAGTTAGCAACTCAAAGACTACCTCGTAAGTCCCACAAAATATGGAACATACAATATTCTACAATTACCTAATGACTTTAAAGTACTGCAGCAAATAATTTTTTCTAATTGTATAGATTCCACATTCCGAGACTTCAACAATGAAAGGTGAGAACCCAAATTTGTTTTTGTCACGAGTATTGCTTTTTCCACTTCTTTCCGACGCACACAATTAATGGGGCTGAGCAAAGAATCAGAAAATTAAAAAAATAAATGATTATTTCCCATTTTGGGGAACAGAGGCAATATTAATATTCAATCTTCTCCTAATCATAAAAATTTCAGCATATCAAATCTCCATGATTTTAACGAATAGACTTAATATATAACCTTCAAGCTAAAATAAATAAAGTCTTCACATGATTACAAAATATACACATCTGAAATATTCAAAATAGCCAGAAGTTCCCAAGCTCAATTTTTTACATAAATTTCTTAATAATTATTTTAATTCCAAACCCAAGGAGCATAACCAATTAATAAAACAATTAAAATTCAAAAAGCTACCTGAATAACTAAAATGATCTAAATTCCCCATTTGACTGAAAAATAAACAATTTGAACAATAATAATAATCTCTTACACAAACAGATACTTACAGTTGAAGGGCTTCGAGGAATTTGTCGTGCTCCTGCTCAGTCCAGCTCTCTCTAGACTTGGTTATAGTATACGGCTTCCGGACCTTCTTATTCGGGTCCTCCACACCAGGGCCCGCATTCCCGCTTTCCGCCAGTATGAACAAATTATTATCAGCATTATTCATCGCCATCATACCCGTTTTCAGCGGATCCCCATCCATGTAATTGTAGTAACAAAAATCCTGACCGGGTACTGGATTCCGGCACGCTGACACCATATATGACACCAAATTCAACCTCAAATCCTCCAAAAAAAAAAAAATTCAAAAATTTGGTCTTTTTTCTTTTTGAAATTTGCAGATGAATTTGTCGTTACAGCGGTTTTTGACGAGGGGAAAGTGGTAGCCGTGAAGGTTTAAATGGAACGCAACCGACTTTGTAAGGCACTGGCAGGGTGAAATCTGAACCATACACGTGGCGAGAGGCGGGTGAAAGGCTGTGATAGTTACCTCTAGAATGTGTCATCATTTCTCTGGAGGATTGGATTTGGGATTTTACTATGTAGAGAAATAGTTTTTTTAGAAATTTTCACCTGGAGTCCTCAAACATTCACTCCAGTATCACTTGAGTCCCCCTTCTTAATTTTTTTGGCTACCAAATCTCACAACTTAAAAAATCATGTGCATGGCACATGACATGTTTCGCAAGGGTGTTTTAGTCAAGAACCTTTATTTCTTAAACAATAAAATGAAGGATAATTATGTTTAAATTACCATTTTTGTTGATTTCACCACATTTTATTTTCAATGGAAGTTCTCATTCTTTACTCATCGTTGTACTTAGGTTCCCAACATTTTTTGCTACATTCTTTTCTTAAACATTCTATTAATTGTCATTCATGAAAGTTTCTAATCAAATAACTTGAAATCATGTACAAATATTTTGTCAAAGCTTTTGTATATGTTGGTTTTTATTTTATTTAAAATTACGAGGGGCAAATACGTTTTTTATGTCCTCATAATCTGTTTTTAGACAAAAATCGTCATGGGGAAAAATGTATTAATTAATGAGAGACTGAGAAGACGAATGTTATGAAAATAAGTTTTATGTCAACATAACCACTCTGAAATGGAAAAAGGAAAAAAATAAATAAAAAAGAACTGAAATCCTCCATAATGAGCAATCCTCGAATTGAAATTAATTTTCTTCAGGAACCATCTAAAAAGATCTCAATGCACCTATTATGTAAGTTTGGGATGTAATCACTAAAAAAATTTAAGAGTGGGGACTCAAGTGATACTGGTTTGGGGACCCCATGTGTCAATTTCTTTAGATTTTAAGAGGGAACCCTAATTTTTTTTTGTTTATTACAATTTCTTGCTAAATTTATTTTTTAAAATCTTTCTAAAGTCTAATGGGCTCTTATATTAAATTTTTAGAGTAATATTGTTGATGATCTACATTTGAACAGGTGTTGTTTTTATTAGGATAATAAAAGAAGTAACATATACTAATTGATTTGTTATTTCCAAACTTAATGATCATCATTCGTTTACGAGTAACATGTATATTCAACATATTAAAATTATAATGATGCTATTTGTATGTCATTGTTTACATAATGATGTACAGATAAATGATATAAAAGAAAGAGAAAAAAGGACAGGAAAAGACAAAAAAACTCGGTTATTACAATCTTCTATGTCATCTATTTGTACACCATTACGTACACGGTAATGTAAAAATAGTACTTACAAAATCAACAGTACACAAACAGGTAGAGAGAAAGAGATGATTATGTGAAGTGACATACTGGAAGGGCAGAGGGAAAAAATCTAGAGTGATATTCTGGTCCTCTTAAAACGGAATCATTGTGGAGCTCCTTGACAACTGAAGAACAAGCAAGTTACCTAAATATTTGAATAAACAACAGATATCTCCCATAACCTACAAAAAATTGATCAAGTGGGACATCTATACAAGCAAAATAATGAAAAGCTTCCAACCCTGATTCGAATGTGAAAATGGAATACTTCTCAAACATCATAAATCTCAAGCGTAAACAAATTTTGCAGCAGGCATTGTGAGCTATCAGTTCTAATGTTCAACAACTTAATCAAGCCAGCGAGTAATACCATCTTCCCCCACGGCTGCAACAATTTCTACACGTACGTCCAACACAGCCTGTCAATTTGGAAGATGTTTTAGTGATAACAAATATGAGAGAAAGAGAGGATATTTGCTTCAACTGGAGATTGATAGGAATGAACCCAACTGCAGATAAAAACATTATGACCGCACGAGGAACCTCTCTAACGGCCTAACCCCCATTCAATGGACAGAAAGTGAATGTAAAGAAAAGGATCAAGGCGTGACACTTAATTGGTTGTGATGCATTTTTACAAAATGATCGTAGAAATACTTTCGACGCAACAAAAATTTACTTGGAAATGATGTGTTCAACTCAAAATATTCCAAAGAAAAACAAATGATAGAGTAGCTTTTACTATCTCTGAGTGACAAAATGGCCGAAAATTGTAAAATACAACTTCAGTATGCTAATGAAGTAAGTAAATAATGACTTCATTTTGTCAGGTTGCCCTTCGAAACTTTTGGCTTAATATTGCAACCAACAATTGACTAATTACAGCATGAGAAAGAAACTTACCAAAGGATTTCTGCAATTAGCCAGTCTACACTCTTCCAAAGAACCTTCGAATGTCCAGCTTTCCCAGACATCAAAGCTGTGGCTAGCAAAGACGAATTCCATCCTCCTATTTATCTTCAATGTTAAAGTGAGATGTTTAGATAACGAAATTTTCAATTTTTGTCAAAAATATATATCTCAGATATGATTTCCATATGGTATGTAGTTAATCACGGAACTTCCATATGGTACGTGGTTAATCACAAAACAGAACAAAATAATTCAGCACAATTCTAGTTTGTGAGACCGAATTAAATGGAAAAACAAATAAAATTGCGACCTTAAATTTATAATAAACTATTATAAGTACTTTATAATAAATTAAATCTTAAAAAAACAATTTTTTTTGTTTACTATTTTAGACTAATCTAAAAATACAAATTTTAAATTTTGAAATATTGGAGTATCGAAAAAAATTCGACAGCATTCAACATCTATCGAGAACAAAATGCAGACAGTATATTCATTCATACAAGAAGGCACTTCAACTAACAATTTAAAACGAGTAACCAGTTCATAAGACCGAAATAAAAACAAAACCATCCTAATTCTCAGCTCATAATAATCTAAAGGATCTTCACTGAAGACCAAGGAAGCGAGAGCATAGTCGCATCCTTCTCCACAACTCTCAAAAGAGAAGTTTAAAGAATAATAGAACAATTTCCAATGCTCCACCAATCATATGTTAACATCATTACTGGTTTAGCAATAAGAAGACCACCACTTCCGAAGCTAAAAATTAAACTTTCAGCAACTTTGTTACATTCTCCAAATCCTCACCCTCCAGAATTTATAACCACATACATCAATAGCATAAGGCTAATATTGCACAACTAAGACAGTACGTTTTACCTGCAATAGCTTTCCTCCAGCAGTAAATGATCTCAAACCAATTGTATCCTGCAAAAACAGAAATCAAATAGAATAAGCTTTTGCTTTCTTCTATTCTTTTTGCCTTTCAACCTGGATGTGTCGGGGGCTAATGACTGGCAATTTCGTTAAAGTGTATCCAACAGCCAAAAAGAATAAAAGGCTGTTGCACATGGACCAAATACACAATACTAAAGTTCTTATTAACAAACCTTGTTTCGGAACACAACAAGGAATTGGGCTGCTGGATCTCTTTTTGTTACATTGGACATTGTGTCAAGGAACCAGCCACCACCTTTAACTCTTTGTTTTGAAACATGAAGTGCAGAGCGATCTCTTGCATGTAAAGCAATAACATAACCATCTTTCAGCAGTTCGCCAGATTTTCTACTAATTTCGATGCTTGATTTTAAAAGCTGCTCAGAAGTTGATTCCTGAATTGAGTCAATTGCCGTCTTCCTGTTTCTTGAATCTTCAGGAGAAGCAAAACGTGAACTAGAACTCAAAACTTGATCTGTGCCACTCATATTAGTATCATCTTCTTGATATGACGTGCTCTCTTTTCCAAAAGCCAAAGCATCATCTACTTTGTGCTTAGATTTTTGGTGGGAATACCTTTTTTTAGCCTTCTTACTTGATCTGCTTCGCTTTACTTCAGATCTACTGGAAGTACTTTGAGACAAAATAGAGCCTTCATTTTGAGTTGAAGTATCTTTTGATTGATGTACTAGCTTTTTCTGGGAACTATCTGCAGTTAAGTAAATATCTCCAGCCACTCGCTCACCAACAGAATCTTGGAAGGAACTCTCATTATCTTGATGCAATTGATGTTCATTGCCAACCTCACTTTCCTCCTCTTCTTCTTCATCATCATCAGATACTGCACTCTTGGGAATCACATTATCCACAAAGAACGTCTGAAGTATGGAAATTGCCTTTTCCCTTATTTCCATCCATACTTCTTCACTATAGTCTGCACTCCGAGGAAGAATCAAAACATTGGGCATCTCCCGCACCTAAAGTCACGTCTTTATAAATATTATGATAATGCCCAGAAGGGAAAAGGGGAATAATTATAGACCCAAATAGATGTTTAACACAGTGCATATTTTACACGCAGAAGCATCGATGATATAAAATTAGTTTACAACAGAATCCATATTTCTGATCTATGCCTCTTGCAGAGGGTTTACTTCCTCGATATTATAAGCAAAAATTTAAAAGTGCATTACTTCAGCCACACCAGGATATTAAAGTTATCTAGTCTGTTCGACTGTTTTCACAATAATAGCAGCCATATATCAGAGTCCGATGCAAAAAATCAGAAAAGCAAAAAGGGTACCATTCCGAATTAAAAATTTGATGTAGAACAATGAAAATATGCAATTGCAGTTTTCTGTATTCACTTTTCACCAAATAAATGTGACAGAAAACAATTCAACATAGTACCTTTTAGGCTTTTATATCTGACAGAAATAATTCTTGCAAATCACATTTCACATAGCTTCATAATTAGATCAACCAAAGAAATTAACTAAATTGTCTTTTGAAATGCAACTCCAAATATTATTTACACCCATTGTAACGTGTAAAAAAGGTCGCATCAACCTTGACCTAGCACGATCAACCTTGATCTAGCATGACGTTCTAGGATAATTCTTAATTAACAATTGTCCTCACACCACTCAGAAGATAATGACTTTCAATAATAATGAATTTCGTCAGGGTAAAATATATGTTTGTATCTGCATAGTTCCCATTGCTCTATTTATCGGAATACAAGTTTCACCAGGGAGGCGTAGATTCATTCATGCAATTCGAGGTATAATTAATAACCGGAGTAGAAGCAGATACAACGGATTGACATTAAAACAGTCATTTCAATCTGCAAGACATTAGGCAATATCGGATTCAAGACAGACAATGCAAAAAAGTCATTTCAACTTCAAGAAAAAAAAGCATAATATGCCTTGGAGCAAATGAAATGTGTAAAAACCTCCTACAACTACTCATCATACCCATGCTTCCATCCACTGGGGCCCTTCGGCACCATCCAGTGCACAGCCTGCAAGGGTGCCATCAATCAGAAGTTGTTTCACAGCACAATCATCCAATAGCTGGCTGCTACCGGTATTCACAAGAAATGCCCCTGCATAAAAGTTATATCCTTAATGAGAGACTTAGCAACTAATAATCAAAAGCCGAAACAATAGAAAATCATAATTACCAGGCTTTATGTGCTGCAAACAGTCTGCATTGATAATCTGAACGGTTTCGTCACTAAGAGCACAGTGTAGCGATATAAGGTCACTGGCAGCAAGCAAGTCGTTAAGAGTCTCAATTCTTCTGGCAGCAGGAGGGAATGCAATGGAAGATCTACTTACTTTTCCAGTTCCCTATGTACAGACAGGAGAGTCGGAAAACTTCATAAAGAGCAGCAAAATCAAATCAAATCATATGATACAGGCTTCATTTAAATAGGCCAAAGAAAATACCCCAATTCATTCGAAATTACAAACAGATAACTACCATATGTGCGCTGCCATCAGTATATCCTCCAATTGAAACAGTGATTGAATAAAAGCAGAAATGAAATACACCACAATTGCTGTTTGAAAAATGCAAAGTAAATCGAGTAGCATCATTTTGATCTATACCTCATGAACATCAAAATAAAGCACACTCATTTTAAAGGCCAAGCTCCTAGTAGCCAGGGACCTGGCGGAGGCAGATCTGCCAACGATCCCTAACACGAGACCGCGGCATCGTCGCATGCCTCTGCATAGTGGCTGAACAGACCCGAGCCACGCTGAAGCCGAGAGCGCATGCCACGAAAGGAGGTGAGTCCGCCGGAGTAAGCCAAGTATCAGCGCCATGACTGTATCAGCAACCTCCTCAGCGCGGCTAACATCAACATGGATAAGCCGGCCAAGACCCAGATCAGCAGCGAGGGCAGAATCCACATCCCGGTCGGAGGATCCGAGGCAAAGAATAAGCTGCCCTGGGCGTAAACGTCTCTGGGCAGCCCGTGGGAGGAACGAAAGCGAATGGAGCAGCACCGCCGTCGCAGACTCAATCCGCGCCTCGGCTAATCGGCTCAGAGGCACGTGCTCGACACGCGCCACTCCCATCAAGCATTCCTGTTCCAAAACCGTATCCTCAATGCAATTCAGCGTCACCACCAACGGCAGCGACTGCGATTGATTTGTAGAAGTTTTCCTTTGAGGCATTGCTACAGCAGATCTTAAAAATCAACTCTTTCTCCCTCTATTCACATACAATATATGCATGTGTATATACAAATTATGCTTATATATGTGCTAAAGAAGAAGAATCATCATCATCATTATAGTTCATGGAGTGAAGTTGAAGTATTAATTATAAGAGCCCTAATTGTCCCTCTCCAGAAGCTTTGTATTTCCAGTAAAGTCCCAAATCTTAGTAGGAATATGCATTTTTATGCATTCATGTTCCCCCCCGCCCCCCCTATTTTTTGTGGAATAGTGATTTTTTAAAAGAAGTTGTGGTTAAAAGGTAGAAAAAAAAAAATTGAATTTACGTGTAAAATATTTTATTGTGTGAATTTGTGATTGAAAATAAGTATGCGAATTAAAGATTTTTGTTTTAAAGGGAAACAAACGGAAAATTTTGAAAATTGAAGTTCAAGTGTTAGGGTTCTATTATAGCTTTTACTTTTGTTTTAATTTCTTGAAGAAGATTTTTTTTTAACGTTCTAATCAAACAAAGCAATTTCAGAAAATTATCCAACATATTCAAAAGCTACTCCTGAATTTCATCTTTACAAATTAATCCATGCTTGAAAGTGCTTTTAAGTAATTATAAGTCATTATTCTACCGATTGTGTGATGGTAAGATCTCGTAGTTATGGCTGCTTTCGGATTCAGTTTCACCAATCTAGAATTTGACTCCCTAGTTATGGTAATTGTCAATATTTCATTGTGCCTTCTGTCTGTGATCTCAGAATCATTCTACAAAATACGAAATGAAATGAAAGTTCGATATTGTACAAATATAACATCTTGGTTGTCAAGATTTCATTATGCCTGCTGCGTGTGATCTTAGAAAAACTCGACAAAATGCAAGACCGATGCTTTACAATGTGTGACGAGAGATAGAAATAGCTTCATCATGCATAGTTTCTTAAACGAGATGTAAATTTAATGAATGGCTGCAATACAACTGGATAATAGCTATACGGTAATGTTATCCATCGTTCAAACTTACTTTTAAATTACTTATTTTTCAAATAAGTTACTCTTATCCTTACACAAAGCTTCCCCAGAAAACTCTTCTACAAATAATAGAAAAAGCAAAACCTACCAAAGGGGCCCTAAATCTAGAAAAATAAGTTTTAAGCAACAGCAAAAAGCACTTAATCAAGAAAGCAATTAAGTATACATCCGGCAAAAGAACTAGAATTGATGAAGAACTAAACAAAATCTCAGTTTCTCAAACAGAAATCTTCCGTTGAGCTATTGGCTCTACAAAAACATACTAATAGCTGCATTTCATGTAGTCCTCCGAAACTACTTATTTCGACAATTAAATATGAATAAAAAACAAGGGAACATAAGCTCAGTTTACTCACCAGAAATAACCTCCCAATTACTTCATACAAGGAGAAAATATATATGTATAACTAAGGACTACATACAAATTCACACAAGATGTAGCATTCCAGCCAAAGCACTTTCACATAAGAACACGTTGTCAGGCCAAAACTGCCAAGGATCAGACAATGCAATCAGTGTCCACCTGGTCTATCGCAATTAACTAGGTGCAATGTACTTCTTTGCTTCCTCAGTTGCAATCTTGAATGGTTTTTACTCCGTTAATATTCCCGAAGGAAAAATCATAATTCCATTACCATATCGTTGCAAATATGAGAACTAAAAGAACCGCCTCCTTAAATTCCTGGTCGTAGCTTGATACGAACGCATGAGCAGGCCAACACCAATTCCCACACCAAGGCACATTCCAAGGCCTATTCCTACACCAACCCTTACACCAGCATTGAACCATGTAAGTTGCCCATCTTCACCAGGGTATATGTCTTCCGAGTAATAGCTGCATTCAGCTTTCCCATCTGTTTCATACTCATCCATGTCTGCATCTGTAAACTGCTGAAAAAACCCAAGGGATCAATTAGTAAAATGAGAAGGTGCCATTAAATTATTCAGCGTGCATTTATTAAAAGAAAAAGAAAAAGAAATTCTAGTAGCAAAAATAGAAGATTCAAGAAAGCGAGTACAGCAAAAAAATGTTTCCATATTCTTAGTGAACACCAAACGGGAGGGGAGGGGATTCAGAAATTTGCTTCCCAGCATACGTTCAGAATGAGATTTAAATAGTGACTTTAAATATCAAACTCTTCTGCTATTTGTAAACATCATTGTTATGTGAAATTGTGAATGAATCACCCTGCACTTAGAGCATACTGAAGTACAAGTTCTTAGAAGATTCACCATAAATACAATTATTCAAACTTATAATACTGCCTAGAAAATAACAACCAACCCCCATAAAGAATATATTTTCTTTGTTTTTGAAGAAAACATGGTCGTGTGACCAACTTTTGAAATTATTTTTCATAGAAAAAAATATCAATCAAACACCCCAAAAGTAGGAACTTAGATCGAAAAAATACATTTTTCATCGAAAATAAAGTTAATCAAACACATCCTAACATTAACCGTCATAATATGATATGTGTCAAAATTTTGAATGGTAAGACAATCTTGACACGATATCTCAAATTGGCACTTGCATTCTTCAATTCGTCAGTGGTATATTTGTCTCAAATATATATTTTGAGTTGAGTTTAGCAATTCTTAGGAACTTTTAGTTGACCCATTTTGCCTTCTAAAATTTGACTCGGGAGTGCCACATAAATGGCCATCATAACTAGTTCAAGAACATTGTCGACACATCCAGAAAGGCTACTCGAACCAGATATTTGAATTAAGAAATCAGATAAAAAATTTCAATTATGACATACCAAGTATGTTCGTATTCAGTTGCGCTCTATCTAAATTCAAATTCCATTTGCACAATAATAACAATAAAATCAGTGCTACTGAACAAATTTGGAATTGGCTACGTGAATTATTTTTCACCAATTTGTTCAACTAATCTCTACGTCCATGAAAAGATCTAATGAAATCAAATCATTAAAAACAACGTCAAATTATATTATTTTTGGTCTATCATCTCTCCTAACATGTCTATTGAGGCCACGTGAATGAACAATGACTTTTTAGATCTACACGAGACATGCCACGACCACATGATTCGTCCTCTCCTTAATTTATTCTCAATTTGTGTCACATCCACTTATGAACATATATTATCATTTCTTGTTTAATCCATTCTATTCGTCATTCATCCATTCTTACATCCTCATATTGGTCTAGCACCATTTACTAGAACCTGTCCTTTAACTACATAGTTATTTTATGAGTAAATAAGATCCTCAAACACTTCTTCCTTTCGTTCAAGCTCTAGTTATATACATTAAATACTCTCATCTTTGTCGACTAAAGAACCTAAATGCCTAAAACAATCAGTATTTAGATACAATATGATTCTCTATGGTGATTCGCTATAACAGCAAGGATGATCAATGTACTATGTTTTAGTTCTAGTTAAGAAACTTCTAAATCCAAACAGCTTCTCTAAAATTTTAACATGCACTATATTCTTCAACTAGCTTCGTCAATTAAAACTGTGTTATTAACAAATAACAGGTAGAAAGAGACATTATTTAGAGCATATCTCAGAAGTTCATTCACCACGAAATAACCTTGATAGAAACATGCAGTCATCAGAAAGTTTCTACTACTCCAGCCACTAGCTTTTCTGCCAATATTTATATTTTACTAATATCAATATATCTAAAACAAATTCTTTTCCCCAACATCTCCAAGACTACAACAACACTTCTTTGGACACCACATAATATGCTTTTTCTAATTACTGAAAACAAAATGCAACTTTTTTTGCTCTCTATACTTTTCGATTAATATCTTCATATGTAAATGGATTCTACAGTAATCTCCCTTGGACAGCCAAATTGGTTCTTTGAACCAATAGTCTTTCTCATCTACACTGTCATTATAGCCAATGTCATTTCTCAGACTGGGATTCTTACAGAATAATTAAAATTTCTATGAAAAATAAAGATTTGACAAACCATCCAAGCTATACGCATCATTAAATAATCAATCAAGATAATTCCTTCATCTTTTAGTGATCTCATCTCTATAAAACAGAACTCGCTCATTTTCATCTTCAGTACACTTGATTTAGATCTCTATTTCCGTCATTCTTCTGCTAAGATATCAGCGAAAACCTTTCCATGCATCCTAGTTCTTAAATATTTGTAAAATTTCTCTCATTAAACTTCTGGACCTCTGGTATACGCTCTCAACTCACTGTGGGGGCACAAAAATGCAAAACTCGAACTACGTGAGGAGAGTACCAGCCAACGGGATAGAAAACAATATCCACCGTCTAGTCTACTTGCAGACAGCTTCTATAAATTACCTTAAAATATTTGTACCACCTAAACTAACATATAAACAGTGCAAAAGTCAATGCCAGCAAAGTAAACCGGCATTCACATAACCTGTGGTTTCCGCTGCCAAAGAAATCCGTTATTTACATTCCTTTGCTCCTTCTGCATCTCCTCGTCCTCTGGAATGGCATCAAGCATCCCCTGCCTCAAAATCTTTCGCTTCGGACTGATCAGAATCATCTTTGTTAATATAAGGGGCAATCCCGAGCAACAACCTGCTACATAAACCTCCATAGATGGAGAGGAAACTCCAAGTTTAGGCTGAAAAAATGCTGAACGACCATTTGCCATGGAGGTCGCCGCATAGCAATCGATGCTCCAACCAGTCCTTAAGTCATTTTCTGCAGCACTCCCATTACCCCATGCGGCAGCATCAACCCGCTCCAGAGAGCCGCACAGGATTAACTCCTCCCCGTTTTCACATACTTCAAATTCCGTTGGACCCGACAATCGGACACTATCGGTGCTGACGTATGTAACCTCTGAGGAGTCCTTATCCACACGATCCCGCCGGAGAGCAATCGAAGCAGTGTCCGAGGACGGCACACGGGCGCCATTTATCTCCAACGAAACACCGATCTCACGGCGGAGGTGACGGAGCGTTAGGTGGTCAGGGACGCAATCCACAGCGCA